CTCGTTCTACCTCAGAGGTCTCGTAAGCCAAACGCTCTGGTGGCCAGTTGTTATTAGGTTCCAGGAGCCAGGCCGGACCCTCCCACCAAAGAGAATCGGAAAATGAAAGAGGGGAACTGCCTCTTGAAAGCATATCTGCCGGGTTTAAATCACCTGGTACATGGCGCCAATACTGAGAAGGAATCAGACTGTTTATTTCTTTTACTCTATTCGCAACGAACACTGACCAATCACCCCGGTTCTTAATCCCCCAGAGTTCTACCATAGAATCACTCCATGCAATGATTTTCAAATCAGGCAAATCCAAGACTGAGTATACTGAGTGTACCAGTCTCGTGCCAATGCAACAGGCCATCAATTCTAATCGGGCTATTGTCTGGCTAGTACGCTTCATAACTAGTCTATGGGGCAAATAATAACTCAAATTATCAATATCAGTTTCAAGAATCTTTTCTATTATTTTTAGGTCTTTCCATTGCTTAAAAACTACCTTATAGTCATCTAACTGATTTTCCTCACTAATTCGTTGACACATTGTTTGATGCCTTTTAAAAGTCATAGACTTATTGTTAGGTAACAGAATTTCAGATTTAAAGGGTAGTGGCAGTTCATATCGGCCATCAGGAAGAACATTTAAATTCTCTTTAAATTGCTTAACGGTGTCAGAGTGAGCAAGTTTACGTTTAACCTCTTCAGTTGTGTCTGTTATGCCAATGGCATCCAGAGTTCAGTTACGCTAAGATTAGCACAATGCAACGAAACTACATTATTGCACAAATTATTTTGTAGTAATGCTGGAATAGTAGCTGAAGTAGGTTCTTTAGATAAGCTGTTTACTTTACCAATCACAGTGTATCTAAATTTAGTCTCAATTACAGTTACACCAGAGTTCAATTTCAGAGAACTGCCAGTAATAATGTCCCCAATGGCATCTGCTCCTAAAAGCAATTCAATTTCATATTCTTTAGCTTGCAAATCAGACAAGGTAATATTTCTTTCTTTTAACTCTTTCATGGTATTGTGATCAACTACTTTTGGAACACATCCGCATATTTTGTTTTGAGAAAGTACTTCAAAGTTATGGTCATAAGTGAACTCAGAATTTCTTAAATTAACATCAAACGCTAAATGGGTTTGAGGACTTGTCTCTCTCCCCCCAAACAAACCGAGTACAATGGTTTGTTTCGATTTAGGACGCAGTTGCAAAAATGCAATGACCCTTTCTGAGAGATAAGATTTTTGAGAACCACTGTCCAAAATCGTACGAACTGTAAGTTGTCTACCCTCAAATACTATTTTTAAAACAAGTGTTTGCAAATACACATTTTCATTAACAGTTGACTGATTAGAAAATACATGGTGCTACTTTGGTGGACGGTTGCACGGAGTTTTGGCGATTTACGTTGGCGCAATTGTTGGCGCGATTTTTACAATCGTCAGCCATCTTGAAAAACGCTGTTTTTACTCAGAGTAAAGCATTCGAAACTTAGAAAAAATAAATATCATTAAAAGTAATGCATTAATTTTCTGTTGAAAATGTCGTTTTTTAAGATGGCAGGCAAGTATAAATAAATACATTTACTATGAGTATAAAATACTAAAGTAAGGTTATTATTACATTTCATATAGCAAAAAAGAGAATAAAAACACCGCTATAAAAACCTTGTGCCAACGTTTAATTAGATTAAAATATTACTGAAATTGAATATCGAATTAAAAACCATCATACCAACATTTAAAAGAATTAGAATATTATTAAATTCAAATACTTTAAAATACGTTATATAGAATATAATTAACATTAAAACATATGTGACAATAATTATCTCAGCAATTTTTGAAAATAGTGTATTAATTTTTTAACAAAAATTGAAGTATACAATAATAAAATAAAAGAAAAATATGTACTTACATTTTTTAGTCATTTAACCTGTTGTTTATTGATAAGTATTACAAAAAAATCGGAATCATAATTGAATCGGCTCTTTTAACCATCTTCATCTGTCATCCACATTTCTCGCACTTCTTTGAAGAAGCAATTAGCGAGGTTTCCTCCAAAAATTTAAAATAAATTTCCTCTGACGCTATTAACAATTTATAAATAAATCTTTGATTAGGAAAGACAGGTTGGCCAAAATAATGTCTCAAGGGGCAATTTTTTATTCCAATACCAATAATTCTTGGTAATTACCAATAACAACATTCATCATCGAAACGGAGATATCCATTCCATTTGAAATCTGAGGAATTCGAAGAGATGAATAATAAAATTTTAAAATGGCGCGGTAATGCACAAATATTCCGTAACCGATCAGGGAGCTGATTACATCACGCATAGAATTAAAATTATTCAAATAATCATTCATAATAAAATCATTTTTAAAACAAATGCAAAATTAAATTGTATTTTAATATTTATCAGCCATAAATAATGTTTAAAACATTAGATTAAATCTATATATATTAATAAAACCAATTACTTTTTAAATAAGGTGACGTCATTGATTACATCATCCACAACATAAAATTATATAAAATATTATAAACAAAAAAATTGTTATTTCAAATAAAAATTCAAAATTAAATTGATTTTTAATATTTAGAAGCCATAAATAATATTTAAAACACGGAATTTATGCATGATAAAACGTATTATTTTTTAATAAAATGACAACAAAGTATCGGTTACCATAAATAACTTATCCAGCAATGGGTTTACCATAAGTTGCATTACTCGCCAAAAGAAAAATTGCCAAAATCTGCAAACGTCTACCAAAGTAGCACCCAACACATTACTTGAAATAACAGTTATCTGTCAGTTTCATTTGACTTTACAGGTTTGCCATTTGAGCACATAATGGTATAGTGCAATTTATCACAAATTAAACATTTTACTTTATTTTTGCATGCCCGTGAACTATGTCCAACTCGTAAGCAGCGAAAACAGGCGCGCTTTTGCACCAAAAGTTTTCGTTTATCTTCTAAAGACATTTTGCGAGCGGAAAAACATTCGGCAGAATTGTGGGATTTCTCACAAAAAATGCAACGTAAATTTCGCCTACCTGTATTGTCTTGAACATTTACCAAGGCAACAGCTGTAGAGAAACCTGGATCATCAGCATGTGGACGCGAATGTTTAGAACGTGAAGCTCCCAACCCGGTACGAGCGAGCTTAATCATTTCCTCACTTTGCACTTCGTTTCCAAGAAAGCACAAAAGTTTATACAGAGAACGTGCACTACCTTGCTGTGACGCAGTATCTTCTATCGAGCGGCTTCTTTCCCACTCACGAAGAACAGTCTCTGGTAAGCAGGACTCAACAAGTGGCTTTAAAAATTCTGCAAATTTTTCCTTAGTTCTACCGAGGCTTTCGAGTGCCATGACCTTGCTCTCAAGTAAATCATAAAGTTCAGCTAAATCTACTTTAATTCTACCAGCAGCATTTTTCATGACTATGGAAAGTAGATCCCGTACATAATCTGACCCAAAAGTTTATCTCTCCCGAAAGTTCTTTAAGTTGTGCAATCACCTTTGAATAGTTTTCTTTAGTTGGCGGAAAACTTGTTGCCAGTTTTGACGCTTTAGAATCTGCTACCACACATTGTAACAGATATTGAAATTTGTCTTCATCCACAATAGAATCATCTTTGTGAATTTTTTCAAATTGCGACCAAAATGCGAGAAAATCTTTCGTTTCTCCACTAAACTTGTCTCAATATTCTTCTGCTTTAAAAAAATCTTCGGAATATTCATCTTGAAGGGCATCATCACTTAACAACAAATTCGAAACTTCTTCTTGAGTTGTTTCCAAACGTGTGAATTTGTCTTGAATCTGTTTAAGCAATGTATTGACTTCGTCACTTTTTAAACTTTTGTTTTTGATCTTCTGAGCTATATCGTTGCAGCACACCGTAAATGCTGTTCTCAGCGACTTTCGTTTTGCTTTCAAGACATTTATATCCATATTTCATCCAAAAATATAAAGTCACGGACGCCAGATTTACTATGTTGCAACTCACAAGGCTACAACGTGCAGGTTACAAATTAAATAATCACAGCAGGGATTATTAATATAAAGATTTAATATGGATATCTCACACAAGCTGAAAACGTTACACTGCTGTAACTAGTGCATACATATAACTGAGTGAAAAGAGGATTTCCCCGCTTAGTTCACAGTTAAAGGAAAAAAAAATAAGAATAATAAAAAGTAGTCCAATGAAATGCGGCGCTCCTTCTGTCGACTTCGAACAGCCGTTACGTAATCGTCTGTCTGCAGCAGCCGTCTCCAACATATTCTTCTGAGTTTCGACCAATGTACTGGACAGGCATAGTCGATTACTAGTTGATACATAATAAGCATCACTTCGGGAAGAAATTTTAACTTCATGAGCGGGACATTCTCCCGCTTTCTGTCGAAACGAAATTTTATTACAAGAGATTTTGCTACATTGATCTCGATAAAGTTCAGACTGAAGCCTTATTTCGCCAAGCAACCGTTTACCTGGCAAAGCCTCAAAGGTTAGCTTGTGGCATTCCATTCAGGTTTTGCTGTATGAATTTTATGTTTTACTTACATATTTTATGTTTATTTACATCAGACCTTAATGAATAATTATTTATCTATAACTTTATCTATTATAGATTAAGGTCTGCGTCTGTACTTCGTTTCCAGGAACAAAATGGACTCTGATTTCGCAAATTTTCAGCGTTCAAGCTCTCAGTTACCTGTAAATGTCTGTAAGTAATATATGTTGTTTTGATTTTTTTTTTTTTTTTTTTTACTGTAGGCTTCTAGAGCCGCAAATGACTGGGGGGGAGTCTTATCCCACGAAGTAGATAGGTTTCGACTTCCTGTAAAATTAAAATTATAATATTCGGCTTCACTAAAAAAAAGAAGTTAAAAAAGAAATAAAATGATTGATTGTGGAGAATTTAAAAAAAATAAACAAGTCTTAAATTTTTTTTTAAGCAGATGCACAGCCTAATTATTTAACTGTAACCACTACGATACCCCGCAGGGTCCTTGGAAGGCTGAAAGTAAACATTTATAACTATATTGTAACGACTTTGTTTCGTATGCTATAAAATCAGGTAACTAAAAAATGAAAATATTAGTTTGCAGATTTTGCATCTGCGTGAAACAGCAGATTTAATAACAGTAATTTAACTCAAATCCGTGTATATATTTTACTTTTAAGCAAAGTATATATAAACCCAGTTCTTTTAAATTATATTGAAATTATAAACTCATATAGTTTAAGCAACAGATTATTCATTTATTTAGTTAAATGATTAATAGATACATTAAAAAATTCTCTTTATCTGTCTCACTTAATTTATTCGATATGCAGATTTAAATATAAAGCTGCATAGCTTATATGTGTTCTCATTAGTGTGTGTTTATAGTTGTCGTTGTCGTGTGTTAGTCATTGATAAAAACGAGTAGGTACGACTTGATATATTTACTACTTATTTATTTAGAAATCCTATATGTCAAACCTGAATTTAGATGAAAAATTTGTATGATTTTTGTTGCATATGAAAATTTCAAATTTTATTCTTAGCTGTTATTAAAACGGAAATATTTCTAAATAAATTGTGACAAAATAATTTAGTTGCTAACGCTACATATAAACAAATAAAAGGTGGGCTTTAGTGTAGAATTGGGTGCCCCTTCGATTGGCAACATTTAAAAAAAAATTTTTGGCGATGAAACCTCACTTCTGGTTACCACGGTAGTTTTAACTTTGTTTTAGCTTCCTGATTTTATTTAAATGAAAATAGATTGATTTGTACATGGACATATTAAGGCAGTGCGCAATGCCTAGTTTGTGCAATTCTAGGATGTTTTTTCGAGTAAAAACAGATCGATGTGTACCTGTACACAGATCTTGTGCAATTTTTCGACTTCTTATTTTGGTTTTGTGTAGCGGCCGTCTTGAAATTGTGACTTCCTGGCGCCGATCTTGGCGTCAAAAAAGAATCGCCAATAAACAAGGGGCACCCAATTGTAAACTTTTACCAAAAGGTGTTCTGAAATTTTTAAACTTTAAGATTCAAGTAGATTTTATGTGCTGAGATTATGAGTAGTAAGCAGATGTATGTGGTACAAAATGTGAAGCAAGTTATAATAAATTATTTGGTCTATGAGTATAACTAAATTTGATTTTATAGTATGTCAGTGGTTCGGTTTGTTTGGTTTAGTTGATTATGGCAAAGCATGCCAATACACACTTTCTAAGTGAAATCAGCTCATATCCTGGTTATACATGAGGTCCTGGTTATACTGACAACAGAGGCATAGTTAGGGTTTTCAGTGCCTGGGGTAACTGAAGATTTTGCACCCCTTTCTGTGTGCTTTAGAATAGAAAACATTTAATTCTAAAATTTCTTAACATCAATATCGCACCCCCTAGTTGCTGCACCTGGGGACAGAAGTTTTCCCTTGCCCCAAACTAGCTACACCGCTGACTGACAAAGACCATGCAGCCAACTTATTCACTAAGAACTAAACCCAGGCTGAACTACCAGTGTTATCACCTGGCTGCTGGCGGGCCTAGTACATCTGTGAAGGTTTCTGTTACGACTATAGATTATTAAATTTTATCTCTGAATGTGTGATGAGCAAGTAAAAGTATAATTTTTATCCGATCAGAAAATTGCTATAAATTAATCGGTTAATCTTTGGATTATGGTAACTTGGCGATTTTTTGGCGACCAATCCTGCTACAGCAACCTGCTAGCTTTTGTTTGGACGGCATTTTGTTTTTCACGAAGTAAAGGCATTTTTTTTTTTTTTTTTTTTTATATATACTCAACGGGTCGACGTAGAGAACTCTGCGAAGCTACTGGTTAGGATCTGTACCTAGGCAGTCTCGGCCACGGGGGTATAAAATTTATGAACTTGGTGGTTCTGAAGGCTCTGGGAAAGGTCACTTATTGGCCGGCCCCGGAGTCTGGCACGTCCTAGCGCGGCGTGGTTCTAGTAACCCGGGGGTCTCCCCCGGGGTCGCTGGGTAACGTCCCGCTGCGACGGGCTCGCCCAAGCGACTGGTAGGAGCATTAGACGACCGGTGCTGCCTGGGGTTGTCCCCAGGTGGTGCGCTGCTCTCCTGGAGGGTAATAGTGGAGGTTGAACCACCATGATGTGCCCAAAGGGGGAGTGGACCCGGAATGAGATTGAGTTCTCGATACGGGGAATGCCCTAATCTTCTTCTTCTTTCCAACAATCTGCTAGCCGAATTACGCTTATGCTAGAACTTTTATGGAACAAAAGTGCTTAATCATGACGAAGATTAAGTGCGAGGAGAAAGTGCAGAATCGCAAACTGCTTGCCGTGTTTTTAAGAATTGCTCATACACGGATGGTATCCATGTACAGGTCGACCTATTTTCACTTTAAAAAAACATCCCAGAATTGGACAAAAATGGCATTGTGCACACTCTTGACTTTATTCATGTACACTGCTAAAGTCCTAGCTAGTAACCTTTATCGCCTTACCAAAATATCGCCAAACTACCTGTTACCATATTCCAAAGATTAGACAATTAATCTTTATGGGGTAAAAATAAACAATGAAAAGAAAGTGGGTTTGGATAAAAGATTTACAGCAGCAATTTATTTTCCACTGAAGTTACTTGTTTGTTTGTATATGACAAAGTGCATAAAAATTATCTGCCTAAAATTTAGTGATGCCTTTAGGCAGGTAAGTATGTATGTTACTGTCTTCAGTAACACAAGATTAAAGCTGTATATGTTAAATAGCAATTTAATTTTATAAAATTTTTTAAGTTTAATGTGAACTTTGAATGGCATATTCATGTGCATACAAATTAGTTTAAATGTAAGTGCTGATTTCCTGTGTTTCCAAATGTTTTTTTTTTTAAAGGAATTATTTGAATGTTGTTTTGGATTTTTTAAAAATAAAAAGTTAAATCTATAAAATTAATTTAAATACTTTTTTTTTAAAATCGTGTATTTTTTTTATTATCTCTGTTGAGGATGCAACTTAGTCTCCTACTGTGCTATCAAGTCTGGCGATTATAACTAATGATATTAATTTTTATTTGATAAATGATAGAGGATAAAAGAATAAACTAATTGACTACTTTTTAATTCTTGATGTGCCTAAAAAATTATATTAGTACATAAATATTATAAACATTTAAATTTCATTGTGATAATTTCTTTATATGATCATGATTGTCAAAATATATAAGTAACAAAAATTGCATAATTAAATTTATCATTTGTTAGCAGGAACTATGTCTGGAGTTTTTGTGAAGCGAGGTGTTCATAAAACATTCCTGCCTTGGCTTATTCAGAAATGTAAGAAATGTATATTAATAGTTTTCCTTCTTTACTTTTTAATGAAAAATAATTATGTTATTTTATATCATTTATTTATTTATTTTACTTTATGATGACCAATTGAAAATAATTTGCCTGTTAAAATTAATTCACAAATCTCTAATTTGTACATTTAATAATAAAGCATGTTTCCATAATGTATCACATGCATTGTTAAATGATATTCAGTCAGTACGTATAAATTAGCACAACTACTTTAATAGAAATTTATAAAGTTTCAAAATGCATCAAACTATGGCAATCTCATGCATAACAGTTCTTCAGGCAATTTTGCATATGACAGTTTTTCAGTTTTATCAATGAGCATCGTCATTTTTATATGCATTCTTTTTGTTGTATTCCAAAGGCATTTTTTTTAGATAAATCATGATATTTTTTTCTTAAATTCAATTTAAAACACATGCTTGTGAAAATTGCCTGCATTGGAGGGAACTAGATTAAAATTTCTGCAGGAGTGCAATATGTTTTTGCAAAATCATTAAAGGGACAGTTTTTTGTAAAATGACACTTTTATCTTTTTGTAAAATGACTGAGAAATTTCCATTAATGCCAAAGAAAAGAAAGCCTGTTTGTAAGTAGTTTTATTGATTTATTGGGAGGGGGATAAGTACTCAGTTAAAGCATAAAGGTCTCTAATAATAGTAATTTGCATGTATGTAATAAATAATTGTTTATAGTTATCAGTTGTAATTATTTTTCTTGTATAAAATTTGACAATCTGCCAAGGTGGTTTCACTAATACATAAGTATAATTCAATCTACCATTTGTGTAAAGCAAATCTTTTTCAGGAAGTGTGTGGACATATTAAAAAGTCTAACATTTCTAAGTGAGTTGTAATTTTATATATGTATGAATGTATTCATGTATATACTATATATATATATGTGTGTGTGTGTGTGTTTTGTGTAATAAAGTTTTTATTCCATTATTGATGTATGCATATGTATTTTTTAAAACATGCACAGAAATTTTTCTAGGATACTTAAAACTGGATATTTAAAACTGTGGAAATTAAAAAGTTGTATGGTAATAGAAGCATGCTTTTTTTTTTTTTTTTTTTTTTTTTAATTCATAGCTATAAGAAGGAAATTACTATAAAAATTTACTTTTAATGTATAAGAACCATGATATCCCATATGCATAATCTATTTAAAAATCCATCGTAATAAACTACTTTTATAATTTATATGTATCCTAGAAAAATTTTTGAGCTAATAGGTGTGATAATATGTATTGATAAAATTATTTCCATATTTTTAATATAAATTTAATGTTTATTTTTAGCAAAAAATGTTACTACTGTTCAAGCAAAACCAAAAAAATTAGAAGTTTTCATTGATGACAAGCTAGTTTTGGTGGATCCAGGCACCACTGTTTTACAAGTAATTTTGCAGAGTTTATATATGCATTTTTTTAATCATATTGTCTGGATTGTATTTTTTGTATGTTTAGCTGCATCTATTTAAAATTTTTTACTGAGCTCTAACATAATGTTACTTAAAATAACTTATTTTTTAATAAGAACTGAATTTCATTCTTATGAAACATGCATGTACACCGAGTAGGGGGGGGGAAGTGACAGTTTCCTATATGTCTTACTAGTGGGCTGATAGACAAAATTCAACTTGCATTTTTCCTTGAGAGTGTGATGTTTAGTATATATATATATAGAGAGAGAGAGAGCATTAAATGTCATATTGATTTTTTTTCATATTGTACTTCTCAAATTATGCCAAATTTCCAATTTTTTTTTATTTAAAAATTAGGTCTGAAACTTTTAGCTCCCCAGTATTAAAATTTGGTACATATTTATTAATCTATTTTTTTAACCTTATTTTTGATTCCTTCTTCCAGAATTTAAAACTTATCTTCAAACCAAATGAAATTTGCTTATTTTTAAAGATTTATTTTTTAATTTGTGTTTTTAAGTAAATTTTATAAATTTTTCAAAAACATTTTAATTATTTTGAATTATAATGTATAAAATGCTTCCATCATCTTAAAGTGGATGTATTGTTAGGCATACCTGCAAAAATATTCTCAAAGAGTTTTTTTATTCAATATTTCCCAAGATATACATGAGTATTGGGGCATTTAGAAATTTGGCTTATGTGTTGTGAGCAATAATAACACCAAATGTGGTTTACACATTTTATCATTATCTTTAATGAATTTAAGTTATTTTGAACCTTCAATTTTCAGATAATCTTTTACTCAAGGAATTCTCATGCAGAATTTATTTATTTTCGTTTGTATTAATAATGCGTAATAAATATTTCTTAATAAAACAGGAGAAGCTATTTTTTAAATTTATTAAAAACATTAATCAAAAGTTAGCCTTTATTTTGCTTCATAAGAGTAAATTTTTATGTTCACTATTTTATTATCTGCTATTTTACTTAGTTTTATATTTTTATATGCTGTGAAATTCTTTTGCTGATTTCAAAATTATACATCATATATGCATTTGTCAAACAATGTATAGAAATAAAACATGCTGTCTTCTACTCAGGGTTGGCATTAATCATTTTGCTGCTTGTTGCAGTCTGTGAGTATTAAATTCTGCTGTCAGTGCCTCTCATAAATACTAAAAATTTTGAAAAAGCTAAATGTTTATCCTCAGTGCTTCCTTAACTTCTAAAGCTTTAATAACCCTAAAGTGCTGCCTAGTGCAGATGCACAAGTTGCACTAGTTCTGTTGCCAGCCCTGTTTCTACTACAGAAATGCTTTTTATGCTTTTTATTTTCTTTTCTGTGTGTTGAAAAGGCAACAAATAAAAATGATTTTGAAGCTGTTTTATATCCTGTTATTTATAAGATTTTTCTGTTGTTTTATTTTTGAAACTGTTATTTATAAGATAGTTTGTGGCCTTTACTGCACAGTAAATTTCTTGGACCTCTAATTACCATCAAAGACCTTCTTTTATTAAAAGCAAAATATGTTTTTATGTAAATATAGGATTTAAAATAAACACATTTTTAAAAGTCTTAATTGTGATTTTCAAGACCTGAAGTCTAATTATTATGCAAAGCTTTGGTGAGTTTCTGGTTTTTTTAGTTTAGAAATTTGCATATAGAAATCATGCATAAGTTAAGTTGGTTGGTTATTTAAATATGGCAAAGCACATGGAGACTATTTCCCTGAGAGAAAGAATGCCTCCATGGAATTCCTTTTAGGCAATTTCCCCCCTTTTTTTTTTCTTTTCATTTTAAGGAAAAAATGGCTGATATTCATGTTGAATATGGGGAAAATAATGGAAAATAGGAATATAACTTTCTCATCTTTTCTTAATGGTCTACTGAAAAATGTATTAACCATGCTTTACAGTATTTTCTCTTTTAATACAGAATGCAGTTATCAAAGGCATCATAGCAAATGCTGGGTGACAAAGTATTCTTTTGAAAAAAAATGCTATTCAAATAAATAAAATTAAATAATAATAAAAAAAAGCATTGTATGTTTAAAGTACACAGTGTGAATGAATAAAAGAAATCTTTAAAGTAACTATTTGAAGAACTATAACTCAATCATGCTATTCAAATAATTAAAATAAAATTCTAAAAAGGAAAAAAAAAAGTCTAAAAATAACAAGTGTGATTAAAAAATATATGAAGAAAAAACAATACTTCACACCATCCTTCAGAATAAAAGGGAAATTGAAATAGGTTGCCAAAAAGTGAAAAGCTGACCAAGTGAATTACTTATTCTTGGTGCAAAGTTAAAAAAGTGCACCAAGGTAAATTTTGAAATAACTGATTAAATTTCACACAGTTTGGTTTTTAGGCATAATTAGAGTTGTAGAATTGAAATATAACAACAACAATAACAACAACAACAACAACAAAAAAGGCATGCCATTTCAGAAAAAGTCCAATTTTATATGAAAAATGCAATTTGAATTACGTCAGTCAGCCCAGTAGTTTATGCAAATTCAACAGCAGGCAGTATAGTTTATAATGTAAGAATTTAACCTTAAGCCTAGCAGGGCTTGCATTCTGTTATGGTCACCTTGCTCGCTGAGATTGGAAATCACACAATCTAAGACAAATAAATAAATAAGATATTAAACACATAAAATAGTAAAAAATTTAATTTAATTTTGGGTGAGATAAGTAGAAAGGAAGGGGGAAGATATGTTATTATTTGAATAAAGAGTCTTCTTCCACAGAAACGTCAGGGGTATCTTCTTTTATCTCTTTTTTTTTTATTCTTAGTGTCAGTCAACTGTCCTTGAGACACATTGGACCTCTGTTTCACTTAAATTTTTTTGTGATTTCCTGGTTGTTGCATTATTTTCCTTGTCTTCTTTGTAAGCTTCATAACTTTCTGGAAAATCGTAGTGTGATTCTGTATGATCCTGAATCAGGAGATGTGGAATAAATTTTGAAGCAATTCAGTGCATTTCCAATTTCTCAATTAAAATGTGATGACATGATTTAATGGGTTTTGTTCAGTTGAGATCATTGGGCAGCTCAAACAAAAATCAGTTTATTGTCTGCTATCTTTGAATCATGTAAGCCATCCATAGCAGTGTAGTATAATTTAAAACTACCACTATAAACCTGTTTCAACATTTAATGGGTTCTGCCAAATTTTTTACGAGTAAATGCAATTGCTCAATTTAAAAAAAATCACAGAATATATGCACTAAGCATTTAGATAATATGGTAATAAGATTACTTGCAATTTACATGTATAGCAAATGAGAAAAATCTTACCAAAAATGTTAACATGAATTACCATGCATCATTGCATTATACGTCATTCTGAAATCTTTTTGGTATACTCTTTCTGATAGTTTTGTAACTTTTTGAACCTTGTAAGTACAGTCTTTGGGATGTCACACTCATCACAGGTGGCCTACTTTGTTAATTCGAAGGCTATAACAAAAAACCAAGACTAAACCATAAGGAGAAGCAAAGGAGTAGGATGTAATGTGCTTGTTACACATTTGAAAAAAAAAACCTTTGATGAATGATATGAATTCTGACTTAACCATTTCCTACTTGCATCATACCGATGATAGGTTTTTTTTTTTTTTTTTTTTTTTTTTTTTCTCCTTTGGGGAACTGTTATACTGCAAATAAAACTTGCCAAATTAAAGAGAAAAAGAGTTTAGTAAGTTTAGATTTCTGTATAAAAGTCAAACTTTTTTAAGGCAAAAATTCTCAAATTTATTGTGCATGTTTAAAAAAAAAATGAAAAGCAGATTTTCTTTTTTACAACCAGTGTACCAATGAGATGATGTAAACAGAAGTAAATGAGCTAAGAAAATTTAAGTATCTTGCCTGCATTTATTTGCATAATTCTTTGTACACCAGATCCATTAATTTAGAACCACCTGCGAGGAAAAGTTTGAAAATGATGGCTGTGCCTTTTAGTTTCTTTTTCAGACATTACTGTGAATAATGTTTCTATAATTTCAAAAACTAAAATTATCCTATTTTAAAAGGAATGATTGTTATGATTTTGATGTAGAACCCATAAAAAATCAGCAAAATTTCATACTTCGAAAAAAAAAAAAAAAAAAAAAAAAAAAAAACACATTTTAGCTTATTTCCACATTCTTCAGTCTTTTTTAAATAAAAGAAATTAAGAACCACAAAACAGCTTGTAATTTATACTGGCTGCAAAGAAATAAAAATCACCAAACAATTTATTTCAGAGAACATATAAGAGACTTGCAAAATATGCCTTTGTAAAGGCCATTTTCATGAATAAATTAAATCTCTCTTTATTAGAAGACCACTGGAATTTTGCATATATAATGTAATACACAAGTGGTTTTATTGTAGAAATTCCTTTATCAAGATATCTTCCATAACATATATTTGTAGAGTCTAGGTGGTTTAACTTCTATCTGTATACTGGAGTAGCAGCAAACTACACAGGAGAAGGGTTCACATACCCTTTATTAACGCTTTAAAATTTACAATGCATCAACTCGACACTAACAAACTTTGCCTCTACTTGGGCAGTAACTGAAAGTCAGATAATTAACACTAAAAGTTGATATATTAACAAGTAATAAAACTACCTTACAGGGCTCAGCAAGATCCCGTAATTTCAACCCCCTTCTAAACTAGTGGCAGAAAAGCAATGCATTTAAGTCACTTGAACCAGCAATAAGCAAACGTACCTATAGCAGAGACGGCAGCTAGAGCTTAACTTTCTCTTTCTGTTACCGAAACTCGGCTTTTAACTACTTCCTTCAAAATAGAAAATTTACATTCGTTCACGCGCACTACAACATTTAACTATTCTGGCACTGACAATTAGGGAAATGAAGGCTTATAGGAAAGTTTCAAATAAAACTTTAAATTATTAGTTAAAATAAATATAAATCCCTACATATTATAAACTTCACTTTATCATTATGACC